GCAGGAATGTAGTGTTTTATAGCCAAAATGACATAAGCAAAAAGATAACATACAGAAATTGTCATTGGTACAGGTACTAAGGCATCACTTTCGTCAGCATATATTCATTAGTCAGTTACAATAAGAGGTGTAGCTATATTATATCTTAATTGTTTACTTTACTTAGGACAAAGAAGTCTTTTTCAACTTTAACCAAGGATTCTTCACATACATGCAAAAAGTGTTGTTTTCAAATAAGGAGCATGAGCTCAGAAACCTTGTATCTAAAGTTGAGGCACATGAACCTTACACTACAAATGAAACTAGGTAAATGCATTCATTGTCTAATCCCTCCTCCGTAGAACTACATCCAAAGTTCATTAAGACAGCCAGACAGCTAAACCACTACTGATAAGAAAGGAATGTAAACTTCTTGTCTCTTAGCAGAAACTGCTGCACACTCTGACCTACAGAGAGGAAAGCCTATTAAGATTTATAAAAACACAGGTGTAGAAGTGTATAAAAACTTAAATCAAATTATGAAAATTAAATCAATAATCTTTTATCAGTGTCACACTTAGGATGTTACAGATCCCTACAGAGTGTCCATTACCTTTTGAAGCTTGGTCCAGCTCCTGAGGCGAGCACATGGTCAATGGCTGCCCTGCCATTGGAGAGATCTGTGTGTGCTCATGTACGCAGCACCCAAGGAAAAGAGCCCTCCTTCCTGTTATTGTATCTTTTTCTCCACCTACTGACCTGGCCAGGCCAGGTCAAGGAAGCCTTTCCTGCAGCTTCATCCTGGAGATTAGTCCTTCAGCCTTGGTAGTCTAAAGTCCTCCATACCTCTGTTCCCTGCTAGGAGGAAGGGGGAGATCTGGACCCACCCATTATCTCTCCTGCCAGATCTATTAGCATTTGAATGAAGATGAGCTGAAGTAGGTCTGCAAAGCAATTGCACAGACTTCCCTTCCCATGCCTGTTCTCTGCCCGGGGGTGGGGGGTGGGGGGACTTTTAAAATGCATAGTGGAGGCTTTGCTCATCTCATACGTCCCAGGAGAAAAACTGCTTTTCTTCACAAATGTTTTTGTCTAGCACATGGCCATCCTTGTAAATGGCTCTTGAATCATTCTGGTTTTTCCCCCTAGACTTGGAAATCACTGTGCCTATGGGACATTTCCAGAAGACCCCCAAGAAACCAGAATGTGGCATATATGAATTCGGCCCCCGGAAAAGTATCTTCCCACCAAGTAAAGAGATAAAGCGAGGAGACTGGAAAACAGAAAGCTCGTCTAGCTCTGCAAGTAAGCAAGCAGCCAGAAAGCCACTTAAAGAGGAAACAGGACACTTTGGAAAAGAGAGGGTGACGGAGAATAAGGCTGATCCTATTCAACAAAGGGATCCAGATAGTATCATTTAGCAGTTCTCCCATTCCCTGCCTGCACCTCTTATCACTCTGGCTCACCAAAGGTTGTGTGTATTCTGCCGTTTTCCACAACTGGGCACTAGGAAAAGAATTCAGCACCCTGAGAATCACCGTTTACTATGCAGGCATCTGTGTGTGTGTGTTTGTGTCTATATGTAGTTGTGCACTTGAGGCTGTGAAGGGGTCTGTATAAAGCACTGATACTCAGTAGCTTTCACGTGACACTGGTCGTTCATCTGAGCACTGTTCCCCAATGTGGCACCTGGCCCATGTTGTAGGCGAATGGGCAAACCTAACCCAATATGAGGCCGGTTGCTGACAAGTGGTTCCTGCCACTGAAACATCCACTGGAGGATGGGTGAGCTGCAGACCCCGTGCTAGGAGCAGAAGCAGAGAGCCCAGAAGATTGTGTGGATGCAGCCATGGTCGTGTGGTTACATGTTTTAGTCTTGTCTTCTGTTATTACGTGTGTTTGGTAGGGGTGAAGCATGGGGTCTCATGGCTCTTTTGGCCTCTGATCGCTGCCAGTGTGGCTGTCTGTAAGACGCATAGCGAGCACCGCTGGCATTAAGTGGTCAGTGGCCAGGCGAGGTGTCCTGCAGGTGTCCTGCAGAGATCCTCGCATCCCTCCCCAAGCAAAGGAAGACAATTTGCACAGATTACAGAACCTGTCTTTTCTCGGTGCAATAGTAAAAAGCACCCAGCCGCACTTCTCTTCCCCACTGTGTATCAGAGGACTGCGTGCTTCTCCTCCAAAAATGAGGCACACTTTCACAGTTCACTCTTTACGGCAGGGAATTCCTCATCTCTGTGGGAGAAGACTGTGGGAAGGGTAGTGACAAAAGCCTTCCTTGTGTGCATAGCGCACAAAACTCACGTTCGTGTCTGCTTTGAATGGGACCTTTCCATCTAACGTAGGCCCAAGTGGAGTGGTGGCCTCAGGGCCATGGGATGGGACAGATGCGTGGTTTCTCACAAGGTAAAGTGTAATTAGGAGCTGCGGTGGCTCAAGTGGTTAAGACACTGAACTGCAGGTTGTGGAAGGTCAGTAGTTCAGCAGTTCGAGACCCGAGTGTGCCGCATGACGGAGTGAGCTCCCGTCTCCGGTTCCAGCTCCTGCCAACCTAGCAGTTCGAAAGCAAGAAATTGCAAGTAGATAAATAGGTACCACTTCGGTGGGAAGGTAACAGCGTTCCATGCGCCTTGGTGTTTAGTCATGCCAGCCACATGACCACGGAAATGTCTTCGGACAGCGCTGGCTCTTCGGCTTTGAAACGGAGATGAGCACCGCAACCCTAGAGTCGGATTCGACTGGGTTTCGAGCAAGGGAACCTTTACCTTTACCTTTAAAGTCTAATTAGAGGGTCTTGCTGGTAAAAGGCTTGACACCCAACCATAGCTGCTGATTTTCTTTTCCAACCAGGTAGTTCAAGTAACCGATCCAGTACTCGAAGTTTACTAAGTGTCAGCAGTGGGATGGACGGAGACAATGAGGTATTTTTTTCTCAACTCAATATTTTTTCTTCAGCGATAGTATTGAGGTTTCTAGCAGCAGCAGCAGCAGCAGCAGTTCCAATTTATTGTATGGGCCATGGGTCATAACAATATAAAAACAACAAATCTTCTACATATTGAAACTACAAAATTAGCAAAATTAACAGAATTAATTGACAAAGTTAAAAATATAATACAACTAAAACCGGATAAAATCAACCCAGATTAAAAAGTCCAAAACAATTTTAACTATTATTATAGCTATTATTATAGCTATTATTCCATACAATTTAATCTAATCCTTTTTACCACTAATGAAAACAAAGCGACTCTATTAGAAACATAAGAATCCTCATCTACAAGCAAAGATATTACTTTTTCCAAGTCTGAACCTCCTTCCCACAGGGATAAAATATTAGTATTAAATTTATTTCGGGGGTCATGGTGGAGGGGAGGGGACATCTCAAAATATAATGAATCAGATAATCTGTTTCTCCCATACCACACACAGAGAATCTTAACGGGGCAGGAACACTTAAGAAACAGCCCGATCGAACCACTGAGGGCATTGCTTGAAATCTTAAACTAGTAAAGGCCATCCTTAATTTCATTTTTGTTACAGTCTTCAAATAAGAAGACCTGATATGATCTCTTTTTAAGCCACTATGGATCGAGCGATTATCTGACTATTTCCCCGTCCATATTAAAGACCCATTCCTTCAACTCCTTCAGCTCCTGTCCTGGTCTTTTAGTACTTAACAGCTCATTTGGAATTACATACTTCGACTGAATAAAATCTAGATATTCCTTATAGCTCTTAAGATGATTCAAAAGGGAGCAAAACTTTGACAACCAAGAGAATCCTGAGAACATTCTGGATTTTTTCTTCCAATAAGACAGGATTCTAAAATTAGCCCTTGCTTTCATAGAAGGGATACCAAGCTCAGCCCTCATCAATGCCACTGGAGAACCCTTTGGCAACCCAAAGATTTGTCTAATAAAATAATTTTGTATTATTTCCAATGAGTCCAGAATCTGCTCTCCCCAACCCCATATTTTGATGCCATCAAGTAAACTAGAAATCACCTTACTGCCAAACAGCTGGATAACAGGGTCAACCACACCACCTCCTTTGTAGAAGAAACATTTCACTATCGCCCCCACCGTCTTCATGATGGAGGATTTCAAATGAGGCCCAAGAAATGGTGAAGTCTTTAACGGAGGGGTCAGGAATGGAGGTTATACAATGGAGGTGGATCCTGTTATTAATAAAGTTGGCAGGAAGTTTTCGGAGCTACTGTCAAAGTTCAATTTATTTGGATTTGTCGGGGGGGGGCTTTTGCATACATTTTTGCTTATTGGGACATTTGGCAATCTCTATGGAATCTGTGGAAAAAATCTATGCTTTTGAGGTGTTAGACACAGCCTATAGTGATCATAATCCTTTAAGAATCACTTTTGGCTGTCGGGAGGAATTATTTATGCCACCCTGCAAAGTTAACAGTGATGTGTTATGCCATTAGAGACCTAACTGGTCTGTTCGAACCCAGAATAGCTGAAGTCTTGATTAATGAGGGGGATTTACAGGAAATCATGGCTCCAAAGAC